CCTGCGACGGGCAGGACGGCGTCTGCCGGAGCATCGCCCGCGGGGCCGGCTCCAGCGGCACCCCCGACCCCGGCGCTGCCTCCCTGCCGAAGGGTGCTGCTGGTCTCAAACTCACGCACTCCAGGGTGCTCAATACCCGCACACCCCGGTACCAACATTCCCCGGCTTCCCAGGGGAGCGAGAGGCTCGCGGCCCCCGGGCTTTAAGGAGCGTTTCCCAGCTGATTCTTAATCAGAGACTTCAGCAAAGGGCTTCACTCTGCTTCGAGGAGTGCAACTACAGACATTTGTATATGAAGATATGCGTGTGGACGCACCTCTCGCGTGTGTGTACGCACACATGGGCTGCACATGTTTGGTCGAGCTTAATTCCTTATGTTTTTTTTCTTTTCTTTCTGATTTCTCTTTGAAATATTCCAATATCTGACTTCCAGTGTTTCACGTGCGCAACTTTCTGTCCACAGACAGACAATATCAGACTCTGCTATTTTCTATTGCTTTGTCAGCACACATTTCTGCTTTACATATTTCTACCTTTGCAATGAATGCTGAAAAATAACCATGACCCGTCAATAATAGCTTGACTGCGATCAAAGCCTGTGCATGCATAGAGCAATATTGCCCGGGTCTCCCAAGGGTTGCCAGCCTCCAAAACTGTCATTTTTTATTTCAGCTTATCAAAGCATTTTTACATCACTGAGGTTGCTCCTGTATTTAAAGGGAAGAGTGTATTTCAACACTTTGTTGAATCGTGGCATTCAGTTTTGGGGGCTTTTCCTTTTAGTTTCAGGTATTGTATTTACCTATATCGATGCTTTTGATGTGAATTTAGCAAAAGACTATTTAAAGCTTAGCTGACAAATTTATTTGTAATCTTGAAGTATTTGATCATCAGAGAGAAAGCGAGAATATAAATAAAAGACACTGGACATTCACATAATCTACAGTTAATTCGATAATTTTTACAGATAACGATATACATATTGTCTTGCCTTTCCTCACAATCAGCTCGCATTATATCTGCGTAAATACACAAATGCCTGAAACAGAGAAGGGTCACGAGGAAAACGTCTGCTCGCTCCGACACGCTCCCAGCGGTGCCGGGAGAACGGCTTGAACTAAACCAGCCGAACCCCCATGCTGAGAGACCCCCGAGAAGGTATTTGGCAACAAGACATCAGGGTGATTTTTGAGACACTTTGCAGTAAAACCGTTGCAAAGGAATTTGAAAGAAAAGCGTAAGATTCACAACCCAGAGCCGCTAGTGTTCCCAGGTCAAGAAAAATCACCTCTTGACCTCATGATAAAAGTGTAGTTATTTGGTAATAAATACATCTATTCACGGTTTAATGCTTATATGGAAGAATAAAACTAGCAATCTACAAATTAAAAATATGAGAAGCAGAATTAACATATGATTTTCATGTTACAAAGGAAAAGGGTTGTTGATAAATGATTGGCATATTAGAGAGCATTTCATTTTAGAAAAGTTAATGTAAATTCAAAATAAAACAAAACATACCGCATCGGTGCACTTTTTAAAAAATCTGCTGGAAGAACAGGGAAGTTTTCTACCATGGATTTCTGAAGTGATTCACTATTAACATTTCTCCTATAGAAATATAGACATTGTCACACCTTTTACCGTGGATGAGGACTTTATTTTCTCTTAAAAAGCTTTCGGTGTGGATGGGTGATGAAGCAAGTCCTTGCTTTGGAGAATGCACTGACAACAGAAAGCAAAATACCTTATATCAAATCTGTAAAGCACAAGTCTTGGTGTTTAGTAAAGACACAATAACCAGTTTCGTTTGGACGCTCTGGATGGTAATCACTGCGGTGCCTTTGCCCACCGTCCTCTGCTCACCCACCGCTGGGTCGCCCTCCGAAAGCACGTCTGCTCCCTCCATGTCGTCCCGCGTTGCTGCCCTGCTGAGCAGCCACAGTTTCTCCCTCCTTCGTTTCCAAGAGTAGATGACGTTTAACAGCACCGAGTCCTTTCCCTTCCCGCTGCACGGTGGTGGACCCTGTATCAAAACTGAGCGTGGTCGACTTCATCCAGCCAAGAGGCCGGGCTGGCAGGGAAATCCGGGTATCCCCCACTGCTGCCGGTGGAGAGGTCGGAGCTGGGTCCGTTCCCGGCCAGGACCCTCATGGACTGGGGCACCCCTTGTCCGCTTTGTCCCATGATGCCCAAGCCGTTGTCTGGGTAAACCAAGCTGGAGATTAAAGGCTGGTGGCCTGGCAGTGCTTGCAAGGAAGCTGGTGACTGGGGTATCCCGTAGGGGCTGTTGGATCGCAGGTCGTGGTACTGGTCCTGAGCTGGGATGCCGCTGTGATCCAGAGCAAAGCTCCCGTTGGTCCCAGCCTGTCTCCCCAGAGCAGGGGACGCTTCATTGAGATTGCTGTAAATCCCATTGGAATGGCTCATTTCAGACATAGAGGGCTCATCTGAAAGGGAAATGGACTGGTTTTACTGGGAGAGCAATGGTTACGGCTGGCAGCGGTCGCACGGGAACTCCTGCAAGCTCTGGGTATAAATAGATTAGATGGATGGGAGCTGAGCAGCCGCGCACTTGCCACTTGTAATTCCTTATTATTCCCGTCCTTGTTGACGGATCTTCATAGAAGACCACAGGATTATTATTTTTTCTGAGTACAAACATCTAATACATTTTGGATTTTAAAAATATGCACGAAAAGTACGTATTAAAATACAAGACTGTGATTTTAAAATAATCCTTTAAAGGGGAATGTGAGTTAAATGTATTTCCACTTTTGTTCTGCATTTCTATTTGGCTTTGAGGTTTATCTTGAATTTTGATATCATTTTTAGGAGCTACCCGAACACTCACCAATGCAAGAAAAACTGTCCATTGCTCAGAAAAAAAATATTAGATCTCAGCAGTATTTGTCTGCTCAGGAACAGGCTAATGAAATGTACCTGTACGACTTAAAAACACTTCTGAAAAACGGGCAATATTTTTTAAGTTACCAGTAAGAATTGCTTGCATTTGTTAGGGGCTTTACGGACAGTGAGAGCTGCTCCGTTGCCTAGGATACAAACCTGTTTGTGGCATCAAGCTATCAATAATTGTGCAACATTTTTTAGTTATTATTTATAGTATATTCATATTTAATGACTCTGATGCACAGTGTGTATAAACAGACTTGAAAATCAAATAGTTTTTAGGAACACGGGAGAGAAGCTGAGATGCAAAGCTCTGTGTGTATAAGCAGACGTGCATTATAGACGTATGTCTGTGTAAATATGTACACAGAGATTTCCATTTCAGCTTCTCTCCTGTATTCCTAAAAACGATACACACACGTTTGGGCACTGCGGTAGCACAGACCAAACGTCGGCAGAGACCATTTGGCCCCGGGGCAGCTCTGGGCTGGAGCTGGGGCCGTACAGAACGTGCCCCCCAGCAGCGCTGCAGGCACCAATCCCCCCAACCCGGCACAGGGCCGTATCCTGCTCCTGCTCTCCCTGGGTCTGGAGAGCGCGGCATGAGGCTACACAGGGCAAGAGCTAGCGTAGCTATGTCCCTGGGTTCATCAACAGAAATCTCTGCTCCAAAAATGGGACCCTCCATGCAGAAACCTCCTAACACGCAGCAATCTCCCTTTTACAGCACAGTGGCGAGCTAACACCACCCACAGAGCTGGGAGTGCAGTCCTCATTAGTAACTGCGCAAACAAAACCTCCCCTAAATAGGATGACAAAACCATTCTACATACTTTTCCCACAGAAACGTTCAGTGACTCTGGACACTCTGTTTTTCGTATTTCCAAGGGTCCCTCGAAGAGGCTGCATATGAGCAGCGGCTCTAACACCCGCAGCCCTGCCCGGGGGGTCCCCCTGCTCCCGTTCGGACCTGGCACAGC